ATCCGAAAAATATTAAAGATTTTATTTTCCATTTTACCAATGTTTTACTAACATCAGGGATTGAAAAGGTTCTCTTTTTTTGTTAAGTCGATATGGATGACACAGATTCAATACAATATTGGTTTTGAGTGAGAGCACATTTAGCCGGCAAATGCATGAAAAGTGAATCATATATGAAATCGAGTTTGAAAAAAAGAGTCTACACGCTGTATCAATTCCAAGAAATCTACCCGGTGTTCAGTTGTATTTGATTGGAGCTGTGTCTATCACCACTTCTCTCGTCCTTATTTCACACTCGTCCTTCGGTATGATCGACGACAGAGAAAGAGGTACATAAGTTGAAATCGGAACTTGTGCATGCGTATCCCATGATACATAGGAAATGCAATAGATTTTACCAATTCATCGACCGAATACGGTTACATGACTCAATAGCGCACAATTTTGTTTGATTAAATAGCAAGCATTGGTGAAAACGTATTACGTTTTAATCATTATATAAATACTTCTGATCAGGTATCCATACACCTCTAACGGTTTAATATCCGGAATGCGTTTGATATTTAACGTTCAATTAAATTTCAACTCAATTCAATTGAATGCAATTCCGTGCTTGAAATCACAAAATAAAAATTGCACCGTTAATAAAAATCATTCAATCTATTATGTAAGGAATAATATAATCCTCGATCGTCTCGAAATAAATCAAGTGTGAGTCGTAACAAGAGCCATAAACAGCATTGAACCCTATGTTTTATAATTCTCTTATCAACATTCTAATCCATTTGAAGGCAACGAAAAACGGAACCAGTGCAAAGCGCCGACTATTCTTTTTCTTTCTGCTGCTACGCTTGTGTGTAGCACAGGTCCGGTGACTGCATTGCAGAAATTGTATAATGTACGTTTTTCTTTCTATTCATTTCATTGTTCACGTTGCATGTGATTTGTGGTTATTTGTTGTATTGATGTCCTTGCACTAGACTTACTATGCAGACGGTGTATGCGCGTTTATTTACAATTATTTGGCGATGTTTCTATTTCAGTAATATGCCCCGTTCGACGAAAGAAATGCATATTAATGGCGTGATTGTGGCGATTGCTTAGCCCACGGCACGGCATTAAACCCTCCAATCAATGTGATTGAGAGAGAGAGAGAAAGAGAGGGAGAGGAGTGTGTGTATTGGTTTTTATACTTTCATTGAACGCCTATGTCTCGTCCATATGACGATTAGTTATTCAACGTTGACATAAACCGAAATAAAAACCAAATACTCTCTCTCACACACACAAACACACCGGCCGAACAAAGCCAAATACTAATTTAATGTGCACAAAAACACACACGGACAAAGTAAAAGTATTCAAGGGAATCTTAAAGAGAAAAAGTATACGAAGAAGAAAAAAAACCAACATCGTGTATAATGTGCATAACCAAAACGAAGACATAGATGGAAAAACAAATATGAATTATATATGATGTCGCACACACAAGAAGTTAACCGTCGATGTACAACAATGGAAAAGAATGGCCGCAGAATGGTTCGCCATAGAATCGAATGAAGAGAAGAAGAAAAAAAGCAGCAACAACAAACAAGCATAATATGCAACTTTACAAAGAGTATATTAGAAAAACTGAAAAGGAAATCTAACGTTCATTTCTTGGTGACGTTCTTCCATGTCTACATGTGTGTGTGTGTTCGCTATGCATTTTGGAGAGTGAATGAGTAGTCGATTTGTACACAACGTCAATAATTAAAAAAAATATCGAAGTTTGAATGGCATTAGGTGGAATCGTAGTAATTCAGTCTCTGTTTCGGTGCTGCTCTGTGTGGTTGGTCGCTGATCGTGCATTAAACTGAATATGTGCACGTCGAGTTATGAATCAAAGGTGAAAAACGAGATGGACAGAGAGAAAGAGATGTCAAAAAATACACACACACACATGCTCATACCTTTCATGTTAATCGTCTTCTTCTTCGTTTTCCTATTTGTAAAGAATTTTTTTTAATTGTTCGAATCGTGTATCGATGTAGTTGTTTCTTATTCAATGCGTTTCTTTTAAATGTATTTGAAATAAAGCTAAATCAAATGGTATACGTGTAGGAGTATAGTTCGATGGGTTTTCCTTTCTTTCAATTCGTTCGGTTTTTCATTTCTAATTCTTCTTTTCTCTATGCGCATCGTTGTATTGAGCCATCGTCGGCAAAACACAATTTCATGCAATGCACTCTGTCAAAAATGTTTTTATTTGATTCTATTCTCACATATCACCATTTATATCTGAATCTCTTCAGTGTTTGGGGGGAATTTGTAAATTTCAAACGGTGTACGTATGTGTGTGTGTCACTCAGTCAGTCATTGTGTGTGTGCACCTTTACAAGTTCACAATCAATTGTACAAGCGAATATATGAATGAGTCTCACTCGCCACAATGCACCAACTGGTCACAGTTAACCAAGATGCTCGAACTTTGATTCATGCAAGAAATTATTACTACCAGTTGAATTTTGATTGCAGTTTTTTTATTTTTCAATTAATTGAAGATTCGGTCTTCGCTTGAAAACAAAAATATATCGATTTTTTGTCGTTGTAGTCGTCTTGCATTTTATGAATGAAACAAGCACATCAATAATAAATCATGTCGATGCGTGACGATATCTTTTTATTGTCGCCACGAATCTTCGAGATAATGCTTTATCCAGAAAATGTGTCGATTTCTCAGAAATGCCACCCTCTATTTTTCTTTGGAGCATATGGGGCTATTTTCGACATTGATCCAGTTAAAATGTTGCAAGGAATGTGGTTTCGAAAGAAAACACTCATAAAATCAAAGTCTCATTTCCCAGTCTGAAGTTTTATTTTGGTATGCTGACTTGCAAAGTACTTGCTCAGTTCTGTTTTTTTTTTTGCCGGAAAGAATACATTCGAACACATACGATTGCGATTTGTCTTATTGGTTGCGCTGTTTTTGTCTTTGCACTCTTTGTTTCCTTCTTGCAAGCACTTTCAATCCCTGTTCTCATCTCTTGTGCATGATATGCTCTTTTTAGTTGGTCATCATATGAGCCACAATGTTGCTTAAGTGAGCGCATTTATTAAATGCTGACACTTCGCTTCGTGCACACAGAATGTACTGATGGAATTTTATAATTGCTGCTGTTATTACCATCGAAACATTCTGACATGTGCAATGTATGAGTATGTGTAATGCACTGTTCAAATGAACACAAATGTGTTTACTCATGATCACTGCATGGAAATGTGACTTGTTCGATCCTCGAACATGCTTCGTCGTCTCTTGTTGTTCTGGTTAAATAATTCCTGAATAAAATCGGAGATTAATGGGATTAAGCACACATATATTTAAAGTCGTCAATGAGATTGATTTTATTCAGGTCGTCATCTCGAAATAAGCCAATTGTGTCCAGAAAAGGACGATCATTTTCATTAATTTGCATTTGAATTCATTGAGGTTCTTTTTAGGTTGTAAAAGAAAGAGAAATGCACAGACAGACAGAGATAGAGAGAGACAATCGGTTACATGTGTTGTGGATTTATGGTGTATAATATTGAAAAACGATATATGAGCTCATAATGTGCAATGTATTGCGTGTGAAGTGCACTGGTATATAAAGACAGTGACAGCGCATAAATATACAGCATTCCTTTGATTTTTTTTCATCGTCTCTCGTAATGTTTAATGCTCTTTCGTTCGTTCATTGTTTTACACGTAAAACGTAGTAATAAAGTACTTCCACACAAATACCAATGAACAAGGCTTCCTCACCTATGAATCGAATTTTGTCTTTTGTATATATAGCCAATGCAATTTCAAAGCAGCATACGCATAGCACATACATGCACGCAAGCATACACCGTATGATGCCGTGAAACATAAAAACAAAAATCTTGCCCGAAAAAGAAATGAATACATCTTTTCCGTTTGTAAGTTTTACTTTGGTGTGCGTTTACATTGGGACCGTACCCGGTTCAAAAGATGAAATGCATCGCATAAGAAAAATAAACGGCTTTGAAGTTGTTGCTATCCATCGCACATTCGCATATGGTTTACGAGGCTAGAAAGAGAGACGATTTTCATTTGGTTTGTCGTCTTCCGATAATTCTTCTGTTTCCATCAACGAAACAAACTTACGAAGAATAAAATAAAACACATTTCTTTTACAAACGACAATATATATGTGCACGGAAGAGCAAGACAGAAAAAGAGAGAAAGAAAGAGAAGAAATTATAGCGCCAGAATGTGTGCGGTACAAATACAAGCGAAAGACAGAGCAGCACACTTTACGCTGCCACTCATTTCAGTATGCATTCGCCTACTACTACTAATAGTATTACGAATTCACGCCATCAACGAAACTACTAAGCGCACAAAACATCGTACACACATACAAATACAAACACTAACTCACTCTCACTCCGAATAAAGCCAGTCCGAATGAACCAAATAAAGCAATAGACCGAATATGCCGTATATTTGGCATGGAATGTTGTTTGAATGTATTGTTACTACTGTCGTTGTTGCTGCCGCCGCTGCTGTTGTCGCTGTCGACCGTATGTATTTTAATGTAATCGCACCGAAAAAAGCCAATTGAATGGAATGATAGAGTGCGACACACAGGAGTGGAAGAATGAAATGTGCTAACACATGGTACACAACTTGAGTGTGACAGAGAAGTGAAACATGTATGTATGCGTACTGGTATTGGTATGAAATACAACAATTCAAACACGTACGGAACAGAGACAAAGCGATTTCATAAGCTACATGTGCGAACGGTGCAAAACGAAATAGTTGATTGCCTGCTGCTGCTGCTTTGCTTTTCGCTTCTTGTGCTGGTGTGCTCCGATAGTTGATGGAGGTTTTTGGTTGGAATCGTGCAACAGAACGTCAGTATTATTATGAACGGTAACATCGTTGAATCGTCGCAACTAACGTCGTCTCATTTATAGTGCGTCTCCTCTTTACAATTCATAGTATTCGCTTAATTCATTTCATTTCGAGTTTCATACATCGAACGAAAATTAATAAACTCTTCGATACTTCGAAATTTTGAATTGACATTTCAATTAAATAAAAAAATCTTGATGAATTGCCTCATGTGCATTTGATTTCTTTAATGAAATAGTTCGTTTTTTTATTGTGTTATTATTTGTGCATGTGTTTTTTGTGCTGTTATATATGTATATTTCTTTCGCAAAACCAGTGTGAATTCGAATCGAAATCAGCTTCAAGAATTTGAAATTCTTCATATAAAAAAGAGACAAAAAGACCAAAAGTTCAAATAAAAAGTTACAAAAAACTGACAACGTGAACAATAACATTGATAATTGAATGATTCAAAATTGGCCGTTTCTTTTATCATCATCGCCCCTTTTTTGCAAAATCGAGAGCGAGAAAAAAATGTGTCTTGGAATTTAGTCACATGTGTAGGCACAAACTGTTGAAAGAGAAAAACTTGCCGTTTTAGTGCGTTTGTTGTAGTGAACCTTTTGAATTCAGATCACCACTGTTTGTGCACACTCAATACTGTTTACTATCCACCATCGATTATTAGTACAGAAAAAAAAATACACGTACGGAGCAACGAAAAAACAAAAAAGATCCGTAAAAAACCAAAACAAAAAAGACAGACACAAACATATATACTATCTCTCATTGACTTCGTGTGCCGCCAGTGTTTTACAATTCACCAGCCGATTTATCTCAGCAAGTTGAGGCAAGTTGTGCGCCTTGAAGTTACTGTGTAATTTGTAAGTGAAGAGAACAAGCGAAAAAAGCATCTATTCGATTTATTACTAAGAGAGAAAGATACATTATTTGTGTAGTTTTTTTTTCATCTCCTTCATGTTTTTGTTGCTATATTTATGTGTTTGCATCAAACATTCAGAGGAAAAAGTTCCCGAAGAAAATACGAACGTATGCAGAGGAAAAAAAAAACAAATTCAGTATGCATAGAAAAATATTCGAAATAAAAACGAAATAACCGCAGAAGAGTAAAAAAAAATACATAACAACAACACACATAGATATTTCTGTTTGAAATTACAAAAAAAAACTACGAGAGAAGCGCGTAATGAAATAACAGCGCAAAGCAAGTGATGTGCATTTTCGTTGTGTGAGAAAAACATAAACTAAACAGCTAAAACAAAACAGAAGACAAATGAATAAAAAACAACAACATACAAACTGAAGCATCAGCAGCACCAGCAAACGCAACTCAGCTAAGAGAGAGAAAAAAAGCCACCTGAACACTGCTGAAGAAAAAAAAAACAAGTCATACACAATATTTTTGTATGAAATAAAATTAATTGTACGTGGTTTAGTTACAAATTAGTAGTAAAGTAACCGAATGTATTGTAGTTTTCGGTTGGCGATAATCTGTACCATTCAAACAGAATAAAAAACTCATGCGTGTTTGTGCGTTTCATTGAAGAAAGTTATTGAAAGAGTGTGGAATTGACAGTAGAAAACCGGGCAGAAGAAGAAGGAAAAGAAACAAAGACTGAAGCCGAAACAAATAAAAACCGATTAAATAAACGCTTATAATTTTTTTTTCCTCTCTCAATTCACCGATTTGTGCAAATACACATCTCAACCATACGCACGCATCGATACCATCGAGAATTAAATCATTACACTTAAATTGTAAATGGTGAGTTAATTAAATATATTTCTAAGAATTGTCAAAAACCTTTTATAATCCATAATCCCAAAATCAGCCAAATACTCAAACAAATATATGTACTCCATCATTTCAATGGAATACGCAATTGAAATCAAATGCGAAACCAAATAAAAAAAGAACATATAGACATTTCTCACTTTACCGAATTTTCACGTTAATTAAAATGCCGACCACAACACACCGATCATCATCGATTCAATTGAATTTTTCGTTCTCTTACATGGGAATCCAACAAACCGATGAAATTCAATGGAAACAATGAATTAAAACCAATTGCACGTGTGTCCGTGTGAATTATTTCGACTGAAAAGTTTTCTTTAATTGAAATCTGGATAAAGTGCAAACGATCATCACCGCAATTAGTTTATTGTTTGGCTCAACGTAAAAAAACCGAAACACCTTCAACCTATTGTTCCAACCTTTGAAGACGAATCGTGCCGATCCCTTTAACTTTTTGCTCCAAACGATTTTTTTTTTTTTTGGCAAATATGCATTTTTCGTGCATCTTTTTAACCTCAACAAAATTCGTGCAGTTTTTTTTTCATTCCACCGAAAACGAATCACTGCAATGAATGTAGAACGAAATTCAATACCCAAACTAAATGTATTCGAGAATTTAAATGTATTTCAGTTACAATACACAAAAAATACAAACAAAAGACCAAAAGATAGAATGAAAATTGAGAAATCATTTAATTTTTTATGAGCTTTCGAAATAGTCGTAAGGTAATACGACACAGAGAGGGCAAGAGAGCGAGAAAGAACTAAGAAGCAATGGCCACTAATATTAATGGAATAGAAGTTGTGCGTTTAAAATTTACTACGTAAACATTTGTAAAACTTACAACACACCGAATCGAATTGGTGATCAATGTGAGAGAGCAACAGATCAATTGTATTCGAAATGTGTGGTTACTATACGTTGACCCGTACCGAAGTAATTTGACGAGCACACAAACGCAATTGAAAAAAAAGAGAACTGAAATTCAGAATCGGCGTTTCTTCGAAATCGAAACGAAACATTTTATTGGGTTAAGTTATGCTTAGCCGTTGATGATTTCGTTATGGTCACACTTTTCTTCTCACGGCCACTTTCAATATTGCCAAAAATGAAAACTGATTAGCACGTTTTGTTCAAATTGAAGCATTCAGTTCAAATTCACACACACGCACAAATCGCATGTCACTTTGTGTTTATATTTCAATTTGCTTGACATCAAAAACTCTACAATAGATGGATTGTACACATTCCGTTACAATGTTGAAGTTACAGGCAACACCAATTTCAGTGCAAAAATAAAAAGGAAGTGGAAATGACGCATTTAATAAATCAACTTTGACCAAGCGAATTAAATGTTCAGAATTTTATTCAACGACGATATCTGAAGCATTTTATTTTGTTGACAAATAAAAAGTTTTATATTGAGTTTTTATAAGTGACCATACAAAACAATCAAAAAAATATTTTTACCAGAAATGAATTGCGGAAGTATAAACTTGTAGACTGTGAGTATTACAAATTCTACAAACGATTCGATGGGATCCATTCGATAAAAAAAAGAATTCGTTGTATACATTTGAACATATCGGAATAAAAAGAATCTTTAAATCAATTTAAAATGAACATTTATTTGTTTTGTTCAATCGAAATTAAGAAAAGTACCGCACTCATATGTTTCAATTGTTTTGAGTGTCATGCATTTGGTTTTTCAAGTGTCAAAAATTGTTCAGCCGAACGGTTTAAATTATTATTGTAATATTGACATTCACGCGACCGAATACAATTTGTTCGTCGTGCCGAACATTTTCGATTTGATTTGAATTTATGACTATTTCTTCTTCTTCTTGTATGCATCGCATACATGACACATAAAATAAATCCATAAATGTGTTTGTATGCAGACCAAAAAGACATTGACTCGATATTGGATATGATATAGATATTGTTTTGGTGTTCATGTGTGTTTTGTTTGTGTTCCATTATTCACTTCCGATACCACCGCAGGCTCTGAAAAAAAAATATATAAAAAAAATAAAAGCAGTGCAATCACTCATTTGTATACACATCGTACATAATGAAGCACCAACTGGAGCGAAATGAAAACCGAAACCCATCAAACAGTTTTTAACTTCCTTGTGTTTCAAGCATGAATTGGGCTGCACTCATTTGCCAGTTTGAAATTTGCTCGAAGCAAATTAATCCTCATGATATTTATGTTTAATCGCAAAATTTATGGCAGGTTGGCTAATAAAAAACGGTTTTATTTGTATGCGCACAGCGTATTTTTTTTGGCAATGAGTTAATAATCGCAGCTTATCACGAGCGCTTTCAAATAAAAAAAAAAGAATCTTGACAAGTGTTATTTTTCGGGCCGAAAAGTTAAATATTATGGTTGGCGCTAGTGAATGCTCAATGAGTGAGCGCGCGTATTTTGAAACACATAAAAAGAATCAAGAACGGCATCATTGCAATGGATTTGCACTTAAATAGCTTCGTCAATCGCCATTTTTTTTGTTTCGTTAGGAAACGTGAAAATGTTTCCATGTAACCGAGTGTCGTTGACAAGACATTAATGGCTAAAACGCTACTTAATCGACGCAAACACCGTCCCGATGATTTCACACTGTTAACGGGTGTCTACACTGCAAAAATACAACGTGCCATTGCGATTGCATATAAACAAAAGCAACAACACCAAAACTCAAGACGACAACAACAGAAATAACAGCAACGACGGTCGCTCGATTACCGCTCACAAACTCGAGTCATAAAAACCAACAAAAAAATCGCTCAACTCAAGAACCTGTACAATTTTCAAAGAGACAAACCATACGCACATTGTTCGGGTTTGACTACACAGATATAAACAGAAGAGAAAAAAAACACACTCGATCTTGTTTGGTTCGTCGGTGTCGCTTTGCCAATATCTATATTTAACGGCTCAAGCCACTAGAAATTGTATGTGTCGGTGTGCGGCAACGGCGTAGTTTTTCGTAGGTTTCCTTTTTCGTGTTTTGTACATTCGTTTGCGTCACTGTCTGGAAATATACCATTGATCGTTTGTGTGTGTATATTTTTTTTTATTCAATTAATGAAAACTCAACAATCGAAAACTGACTGTAATTCGCATATGTGCATAATTCACTTTACTTCACTTGCTGCGCGCATATTGCAACGATGAATCGTATCTTATTGCATTGACTGGGGTTCGAACGGCAATGTTGTTGATGTTATTTTTCTTTCTTCATACAATGACGGCAATGGTGTGCGTACTCTCCCTCCCATTTCATTTATCTTCTTTACTCGATTTTCAAACCAAAACATTATGGAATAACAAAATAAACCCGTACAATGAATTTATTGTTTCTTTCGAAGTTGTCGGTTTTTTCGCCTTCAGTCCTTTTCAAACAGTTGTTTTATCGGTTTTGGTCTTTTTTTTCGTGTGCCGAAAATTTCACTGTGAGTTTTTGACCGAAACAAAACGCATGTTTTATTTTGCAAGCAAAAAAAAACAACGCTCACATCGCAACAACTCGGCTCTGCATTCCGTTGACGCAAAAGTCAGAGTACTTTCAAATTTCTGGCGGCTTTAACATATGTCCGCAATTTAATATCGGTGTTGTATTTTTTTTTTCAACTGGACCGACTGTTTTACGCTGTTGCTTTCATTTCAAAAATCCCAAACACCTTACAATCGGTTGATTAAGGTTTTACACGCTGTTTGTTGTTGATCTTATTACTTCATTCATATTTTATGAGATACATATATGTAGTTTACAGACACGAATGAATGCGTGCCATATATGTTTATAGCATTACAAATACACGCACACACACATCAATCAATATTGTTCATGCATTGATTTTCTTTTTGCTTTCGATGAAATTACATTTATCCAATTTTGAATTTATATCATTTTAAAGTGCCATCGACCCTTAAAGCTGAACATTTGTAGTGTGTGTGTGCGTGTGTGTTCAGAGATATCGGGTTATAAATGTTCGGATAATTTGACGAACACAACTGAAACCCTTTAAATTCAATGATAATGTCTCGCACCAGATGGTTGTCGCATGATGGTCATTTGACATTTTTCTCCATAAAACAAATCGTTTAATATTCTCTAGTTGTTCATTACGGTTTATTGTGCTGGCGGCAGTAGCAGGTTTTAAAAAGAAGTCTTAAGCAATGAATCATACATTGTTTGAAAGTTGAATTGAATATACGGCACGATTTATACCGTCAAAAAAGAGAAAATTCAGCGATATCAGATTAACGTGATTCGACTAAATATATCAAATAAATTGCATTTTTTCCCATTTATTTTGCCTGAGTAATAATCTGAAGTTGTGAAATTTGAGATCAAATCATTTGACAAATCAAAAAATCATTCGAAATTCGAAAAATTCATTATTGATTATATTTTATGAAAATTAACAATTTCCTTTTTACATCTTTTACACAGGTGCCGAAACGGACGAACAATGTTTGTATCATCCGTATATAACCCAAGCGACGAAGATTCATTTCGAAATCCGACGAAATCAGTACAATACTCGTAAAATTGTACGATTATCCAAATTAAAAGTCAATACGAAAATGTTGAAAAAAACATAAAAACTCTTTGACCAAAAGAAAAAGTACCGTTCGACTGTAAAAACATAAACACGTAATAAAAAGTGCACAAGTGTCTCGTAAAGAGAGACTTGATTTGGACAGCGTAAATTAGTTACACATATAAAGACAGTTCCATGGATGATAGCAGCTGCAGTTGTTATCAGCCGATTAAAACAAATACTAGGCAGCACTTTACGATGGAACGACCATCTATATTTAAATCAAACAGAAACGGACTGTTGAAGTTCCTGGCACGGTTTTCAGGTGAGATATCGATTTCAAATGTCCAGAACAAAGCAAAGAATCAACTCAATCAATTTTTGAAAGTTCTCGTACTCTTCATTGAGTCTTAAAATGGTGATGGATTTTATTTTTAAGTGGTGATGGGTTTCAATTAACGTTTTTCTTTTTTGCATAACTTTTAAGTCTAGTTTTTTTTAAAGTAATCAAATTAATTGAAAATTAATTGGTAGCTACAATCAAATAAATTTTAATTTGGTGGATTTATATAAAAAAATATGATCCAATTAACAAAACAGCTTCTTATGATGTCAACACATTCAAGCGATCGAGCTCTATACATGATCGTTCGCAAAATGACTGCAACACTAAAAATGGAGAACCGTATAATTTCACATAATATGGAGATTGGCAAGAAGCTCAGTTTTTAATTTTGGCCAGAATAGAATGATCACGTAATTTTCAGTCATGCATTTTTTTTCTGTTCAAATAAATTTGAATTGAAACTGTTGCCAGCGGTAACAAAATTGGCTAAAAAAACCATTTTTATTCATAAACAATGGCCAAAAATGAATGCAAATTTTTCAAAAAATCCAATCCAAATAAAAACCAAATCGATAGTGAGAATTTGATTAAATTCGACCAAAGCAGTAACACTCGAGGCTTGAAAAAACATGATCAATTCGCGAATACCGTATAATAACCACCCACGAAAAAATGAATGTACGTAAGCAGTGTTCAAGCAAATGATACAGTCAATTAGTAAATAAAATGAGAACGATGCTCGCAAATGTTTCTCACTCGCAGGTCAAAAGATCATATAAATGCCTATTGACCATACATCATACTTGAATTGGCGCCTCAAATACATACGCAATGCTCGCTCCGGCATATTTGTTGATTGAATTTCGAGTGATCAAATTATGAAGCCAATTTCGACGGTAAGTTTCTCACATGAATTTTATGGTTTTCCTCGTCAAATTACAAATATAATGCGAAAATTTTAAATAGCTACAACTAATAAATGGCACAAAGTAGGCCAGATCATAAAAAAGTCGACATTTATTGTAACATTATGTTTATTTTTTTGAAATTCTTTCTCTCTTTCTCTCTCTCTCTCTGCCTCAGTTTACATTACAAAAATATTACATCATATTGCTAAATATTGTCTAAAACGTTCGACGCCGTACAAGCCATAAAACAAATCAGCTCCCGTTTCATTTTCCGTTCATTCAATTTTATGTGCGCAAACATTCTCCGAGTGTCATTCACCAGTGTTTCTGTGCATATGTTTATGCTTGTTGCAATTTTAAGAACTTTCTTTGAGCATTCACTAGATTTCGCAATGCTCGAGCACGTAACGAAGAAGAAAACGCAGCAAACAATCGTTTTTGTTCATTTCTCTTTTTCATTCGCCGACTTGGATTTCTCTTTTTATTCACAAATCGAATGTTTGAACGAATTAAATAACAATTGAGCGTAAAAAAATTCGTATTGTGATGTGTTAGATCGATGTTTGAGTAGAATTTTATCGATCGATCGATTTTCATTTATGGGTGTAATGTTTCCATGTCTCGAAGAGAACTACCAAAATTCACGTCTATTTCTTGAATAATTCATGAAACGTTTCGATTTTCTAAGGGAATATAATTTGAAAAGGCAACTAAAATTCATTGACCTTCATTGCCATAGAAATCGATTAAAAAAAAAATAATACGATATGGCACTTGTCACGTTAAAATTAACCAGCCGATATATAGAAAAGTGTTTGTAAAACGCGAAATTGTGCTCTCCACCCAACGACCATGTATCAAAACTATTCAACTAAAAATACTGACACTTTCTCGGTTCACTAATTTCCACATACACACACACACACACACACACTTTTATATAGACATAAATTACTAGCAGCAGGCTTGTGGCAGTAAATTTACTGGCATTTATGCTGTATGACAATCTATCGCATCTTCGTTTTAAAACACCAAAATAGCATATTCAAATTTTATTTCACCATAACTAGTCATATCAAAGTATGAATGTTGCATGTGTCTTTATTCTTCGGGTGCGCTGTTGTTAAGTGCCTTTTTTTACGGTTCAAGGCAGGGGCAATGTATTGATGTTTTGGATGCATGTATAACAGCAACAACAACAATATCAATACGACTGCTATTTTCGGTTAATCTGGAGATTTTCCTGTCGGAATCCATACATAAAATTGCCATGAGTATATTTTAGGAATTTTATTTGGTGCGCGAACGAGCGAAAGATAGAATCAAGCTGATGAAAATTGTACATTTACTAGCGTTTATGATTGGAAGCAGTGTAACAAAGTAAATATTACTAGATCTGCATTTTGATAGCAGCAACATCAGATTCGTCACTGTCGACAACTTGGAAAAACTATCTTCAAAGTGGCCCATGCAATATTCAATGGCACATCAAGTCGGGATCTTCCACATGACTGAGTTCTCGAAAATGCACGGCATTTTTTTCTTGCTTATTTCAAACGCATCGTATAACTATTTGCTTCGTTTAAATTTCAATATATTTTGTGCAATTTGAGTAAATTTATGATTTCACTGCTTTCATATTTTTAGAAAATAGCAGAGAGAGAGTTCAATGTCGTCACTTTGTAATAGATGTCAGAAAACATGACGTAAGCACAAGACCAGTGACATCCAAAGTAGTCACTTTTTAAGCATGGTCATAGCAAGTGCAAAATACAATCAGCCAATATAAACAAATAGTGACAATTACGTAAATTTTTTTTTTTTTTTTTTTTAACAAAGAGTGACTCTTTTGAGCAGGTATTTCAAAGAAATACATATCTCTATATTTTTTTGTATGATTTTGTCACTTTTCGTAATGTTCATTTTTTTCCCTTCATTTGGTTCGTTCTTTTTGTTGTTTTGCTGTTCAAACATTAGATGCACTACGCATTGAAAATTCTAGCGAATACAATTAAAAATTGTTCACGAGTATTTCTTTATTACAATCCATTATGTATACATATTTGGGGCCAAGTCATATAGAAGTGTTAGTTGTTATTGAAACAACAAAGTGCTTGTTTTGCTCTATGAATGCGATAACTTATCGCTGAAACAATATTGAATTATCGAATATGTACCAATTGAATAAACGATAACTAAAAGCAAATACGCCACATGTACGCACGTACTGAACGGAGTTGTATGGCAGCAATGATGGTGGCGGCGGCGTAGGCGGCAGAAAAAAAACGGTGTGTTTGTCTACGGGGAAAAAATTGGCTCACAGTGAAACAAATGCCACACTAATAAATGTGATTACAGTCAACAGAATTTGAACAGCACAAAGCAACGGTAATGTGTCGCAGTCAACGTGAATTTAACAAATAAAAATTATTCCAAAAACCGTTATGGAATCGTCAACTTTTCTCACAGCCCGCTCATTTTGATATCGATGCCATTGGCTGTTTGTCTTTATCTTTGTTTTACTCTAGTTTTTTATGCTTTACGTAAATTGTTTTTTTTTTTTAGAATTATGTTATTATTCCAAGAATGAATTTCTCGTATCAGTTCACTTTGATTGGGTTCTCACGTATACATTTTCAGTGGATGTTGTCGGCGTTTTTCTTATGGGCTCCACGGACTAATGAAAGCGTAAAATTCTTACAAATTGTCGGCTGAAACATGCATACATATCATATTATAGATTAAGAAGCCGACCGAACAATGCTGAATGGATTGGCCATTTTGAACATGTAGAATGAAACAACTCAAACGCTCACATATCATCAATGTGAAACTAATACATTCATTTTATGAGATGGTCGTACACTCGATTGATTTTGTTGATATATTATTTACGCATTTTCAATTATCGGTACATTCAAACCGTGAAACTTGAATGATTGGGTCAACGAATACACGGAAATGTTCTTGAAATTTGTGCACGAACAAACACATATACATTTTTTTATACATTGAAATAAAAAAAAAAACACATTAAAATCGATTTTCTATTAAGATAGAAATATTTATTTAAAAAGTGAAATTACATATTTGCGATAACCGTTAGATTTGTTGTGGTCGCTTAAACTCAACACTCTATCCGAGTAAAAGCTTGTCTACTTGCATGCCATTACAAATGGTTTTGATTGTTTGCTTTACGGTGTATAACCAATAGAACGAAGACATAAGCTCAACAAAAAAGAAAATCATTAAAATAACACCACTTCCAAATGAGTTTTTATTTTGACCGCCAATGTAATCGCAATTTACCATTATAATTTGGTATGATATTTTTGGAATCGAATGCATCACAATTTATGACAAACAAATTTTATACACAAAAATTATTTGGTATTTTGAGTGTTTTTTCCCCCGACGAAGAAGGGGAGTTAATGAGCTAGAACCAAATATTGTGTGCAACTGTGCACTAGCTGGAAAGGAATGTCGATTAACGAAAAAATAACTTTTCAGTTTCTTTTCTCATTGGTTCACCTTCTTTTTTTATTTCGTTTCATTCAAAATAGACTACCAAAAGAAGCGACGACACATGGACAAAAAAGAAACGACAATGTATGGCAAGGGTTTGCTTTGATTTGTATGCGACACTCTATTTTGGATATTTTCAAAATGCTAAAAATACAATTCAATGTCAAAATAGATTATTTCAACAATTCTGCAGACATAAACATTTCAAGAATAACCAATTATTTTAAAATAAAATTCAAATGACCATATCAGCTGAAGTGTGTTTTCCGCCATTCAACTTTGGGCCAATTGATTTTTCTAGCACTTTGGTACGTTTTTGAAGAGTGAGCGCGGAACCAAGCTGCAAACATGACCACAAACAACAACAGCAAACAACATCAACAAATAAAATATACTGCCACTGCCACTGCCACAAGAAATGGATTGCCATTGCATTGTGATTCCGACACATAATAACGTGAGAGGGCGTCAATTAATAATGTAATAAAAATAAATTATCCGTTGCATTCATCACTTCGTTTCTTATTCTTCTTGGTTAAAATTTGT